TGATAAATCAATTATGATAAACTTATGATTGGTATACCAAGATACCACAAGATTAAACTGCACATTAGTTTTGTAGCAAAAATAAACCCCCCAAAACGTATTATTTATTCCTTTCCAAAACCTAAAATTAAATATTTCTCAAGCATTTAAGACAGTGAGTTTTATGAAGTGGGGAAAATCCTACCCAAGATATATAGACATAAACAAAGAATATGAGGTTTCTTCTCTGAAACATAGCAACCCTAGGAGCAGACAGACTACTCCACAGTTATTTTATATAGATTGCCTCTCTCTAAACAAAAAAAATAAATAAATCAGTAGAATAAAAAAATCCCTGGAATAATCTTCCCTATTATAATTAGAGCATTGACAGCATATTAGACTGAAGCACAGTAGTTCTCATATCTCAGTGACAGTGATAGTGCTTGTAATGGGTGATGATCTGAATAGTTCATAGGACTATTTGATGCAGGTCCAATGCAGATTAACTGGAAGTCTTTCCATGTAGCTTGGTCCAATATAGGAATAAGGAAAGAATCTGTGAATCCTCTGGTCATATTAAGCTGCATTTAAGCCATGGTTTGTTGAACATTTTAACAGTATATTTATATCAAATTATATTTAAAAAGCTGGAATCTATTACTCTAAAACGCAAAATTAATATTCCTACTCTAACACTCCGCTCTCATCTCTAAACTTGTCTTACTCTCTTGTACAATTAACTAATGCTTAATTGGAAAAGTGTTAAAAGTGTTAAATTGATGGAATGCAGTGTGAAAGAGAAAACTTTTATTGTTGGATCTTCCATTCTTTTGCAATATATAGTAAGATACTGAACTGAAGAGTGCTAAAGAACATGTGAAATATATTCCTGAAGCTTCAGTTTCAAAAACAAGCCTTAGATAATTGTGAAATTCCTTGCTTCACTACCTCTCATAAAACGTGAGTACTGCTTTTCGAAAGTTAGAGGCAATATTTTATATTTCAAGTACATTTCCAGTGTTCACATATGCATAATTCTATGTTGGTACAATACTTTGCTACAGTTTAAGGAAAACGTTGCAGCCTCCTTGTACAATTTGAAAGCTGGCATATTCACAAGGGCCCAATTAGTAAAATGCTAATTTCTTTTGGGAAACAAACAAAGCGTCTCCATATAGAAAAATCAATGTAAAACCTTTAGCTCATGGAAATGCTGCCTCCAATATATGTATGTGTTCTGATACTTCTCTCCCTCCTCCCCTCTCCCCTGCTTTGCTATGTGCTATTTTATTTGGTGGCCCTTCTCCCAATATCTGAGCCATAGGCACAGTTCAAGTCACCGCTTCCAGTGGCATCGATCTAGATGCAAAATTGTAGGCAGTTCACAAAGATGTCTGTTGTAATTGCTGTTACTCTAAATAGGTCTCCTGATGCCCTCTCTTAAGTACTTGGCTTTTACTAGTAGTTTTAGAACGAGAATACCTGTCAATATACTAAGATGACGACAATGATGATGATGAAGAGACCTGCAGCTATGATTCCTACTGTGAACACTAGTCTTAAATGGCTGAGATATATTTACATAGTATCTTTCTCTAGCCTGGGATCCAGTGGTTCCTATCTCACCAGCTTCAGTCTGGTGAGACCTGTCTTTTGTTTAACCCATATGCCATCATGAAAAATTAATTTAAGCAATCAATATGAAAACAGATGAAGCAATAAAATTGAAGAGTTTTCAGTATGTACAGTTTTTTTCCCAAAAGAAGGCCTTCCCTCAGTGCTGAGTTATTAATTTAAAACATAACTGGAAAATAGAGAAAGGCAGTTGTTCTAAAACTGAATTAACATTGCTGAAACCAGCAATCCAAACTTAACTCTTGTATCTTGTATCACATATCTATACCACCCTCAGAAAGATAACCATTACTAGGGACTGGGCTCTATCAGGCTAAAAGGTGAACATGTTGCAACAAGAAAATATGGCATAACAACATATAAATGACTCTAGTATCACTTTAATTTCTATTAATTTATTTTCATTTTTTTCTATATGTAGGAAAGAGCATTTAATCCTGCCTGAAATGGGCACTGACCATATATTTTCAGCATATACCATAGTAAAACAGGCTAAAAATATTTTAAAAATAAATTTAATTCTCATGAGGCTGTTTTTATGCAACAAATATATTCCATCCCATAAGTGTGAACAAAACTATCACTGGGATATTGGGAAAAAAAGAAAAGGCACAACAGTATCCACTTCAGTTGTGATGAACATATACCTAATATGTTAATAGTGCTAAACAACTTCATCAATGCCATCTGATCTAACCCAGATGATTCAAATAAGAAATTTTCAATCTTGAATTCACAGAGAGTGATGTGGTCTGTGACAGACAGTCACTTATGTGAGGGAGAGGCAGTTAAAAATAATTTGAGACAATTGTCCAAATCCTATTGTATCTTGAATTTTGTAAGATTTTGGTATTCCCATTCAAATTCTTATAAGGTTATTTGAATTTTTATTTAAAAACTGTTTCTGACCCTTAGTTTATATAATGCTTTGCAAAAACTTTCCATGAAGTTTACATAACAAAAACATAACCCCAAAAGTTCATAACTGCTGACTTAAGGTTGATGCAATCTGTTCTACAGAGACTAGAGAATGTCAACAAATTACTGAACTTTCCATGAGTGCTCATCTTCCTTATAAGTGAGTAATTCTATGGGTTAAAACAATTTGTAGTCAGGTTTCTTAAGAAATCATTTTTGATCTGCGTAGTTTACCCAGAGTTTAACTAAAATACCAGTTATAATAAAATTCAATCCAGATTTTATGAAACCCGAACTTTGCTAGAAAAAAAGAGGAAATACTTCACATATAACTGAGCAGTTCTTCACCATGTCATACATTTGTGACTAGAATTATTTATATAATTCTAATTGAATAAATATATATAAATATAACAGTTGAATTGTTTTTATTCACGTTTTATTTTAAAACCCACAAAAGATACGGAAATACACCCACACATTAAATAATACTTGTATTTATTTGTGTAAACAAACATAAAATAGAGTCACTTTGCAGAGTGAGATAGGTGGGTGGGCATATAAATGTAATAAATAAAAATGTTGAGAAATGAAAAAATCTATCCTTTTTCAGACTACAATATAGTTTTAGCCCTATGAAGATTAAATGAGTACGTTTTGTAACTTGGCTTTTCTATTGCTAGTTGGAAAGGTGGTTGTATTACTTCACCAGCAAAACAACTCTGATTTGTCTCTTCCTATATCTGCATGTATAATGATCTGTATGTATTACAATACTGTAAACTGGAATTATAAGTTGTGATGTTGTGGTGGAATACACTGTAGCCAAACTGCTGAGCAGAAACAAGGATGTTCTGGGTTTTGACTGATGACATCTGAGATTTCTCCTGCTTTCAGCATGAAGATAGCTAAGGGGTCAGAAACTGTTCTCTAAATTTTATAGATCTTAATGTTTTTGTTCTGAAATCTCATATTCATAGGAATTGTAAACTTTTGCAAAATTTCAGCCATTTTTACCAATCATTTTTATTTAAGGAAGTTCTAAAGATACTATATACAGGAGAAGAAAGCAACGGCAAACTCTATGTCATACTGCAGCTAAGAAAATAACATGGACATCTTCATGAAGATATCATTAAGTTGATGTGAAGACACCTTTATCCTACTTTTTAACCGTATACCGCAAGCTACCAAAATTATTTTTCTTCAGGAAACTTTTGCTTCTGTTGAGAAAATTTTATACCTTATGATTTTAGTTGTTCTGCCTCCATTCCATTGCATTTTAATGTTGTAATTTTAGAGTTTATTTATTAATTTACATTTCATCCATTTCACTATCCTCTGGGTAATTTACAGTAGTATAAAAGCACAAATATAAAAATATTACAATTAAGACTACTGTAAGTTTAATAGTAAGCTACCTCAATTAATCAGTATATTAAGAATGTGATACAAAACCCCACATATAAATAAAGGAATGTCTATCTCTTTGGATGTTTGTTGACCAAAACAAACAAACAAAAAACCTACAATAACTGTCAATGTCTTTTGAGATATATTTCATTCTTAGATGAAGAATGCAATGAGTAGATTATAAAGAATGTCAATTTTTAATTGAAAAGGTAATGTAATATTTGTGAGAGATTATACTTATTTAAATACCTCTAAATACCTTGTGACTGACATACAACTAAAATATAATTTAATTTAATTTAATTTAATTAAAAAACAGGGGTTTGCATATAGCTGACGAAGTCTGGCAATGAACCATCTTTCCCTTTTATACAATTTACATAATGCAGCTTCCTGCCACCTATTTTCCATGCACATATATTTATGAACGTTTAAGAATACAATTTGCTTTATATATTCAACCTTGAAATTACTCTACATAAATTTTCTATCTCACTGTCACCATTTAGAGCATCAGAAATAGCTAAAATAAAATTGGATATCTCTGATAAGAAAACTAAGTGGTATATGGTATGGGGGGGGGGATTTTAGCAAGTTATGCCAAAGTCACTTATGGCTTGATTATTGAAAATGATATGCTAATTAATTAATGATTGTCAATTAAGTTAATTAATGATAGGAATCCCATATAGTTCAACTAAACTTGAAGGGATGATATAATACATTATCTGGTTAGTTTCAACTGTGCAGTTGAGAAACTAACCATTTTGAAGGATCTAGAATAGAAATATTTTAGCAAAATTCTTTTAGGAAAGGAAGATTGGATAAAATTTGTTCAATCTGGTTTTGAATGCCACAGAAAATATAGTTAGGTTAATTAGATAAGCTAATAAAATCTTCTAGTGTTTTTGTGCAATCCACACCTTCCACTATTGCTAAGTAAAATGTCTTTATAACAATGTATTATGCATCCTTTGAAACATACATTTTTATAACACTGTTCTTGCCAGGTTTTGATCAATTTGATCAGTTACAAGTCATTAGGTTCTTACCCTCAAGTCAATAACTCTGTTGTCCAATCTTGTATCCTGGTTCACTGTAGCTCTTCCTTCCTGAATGGTTACAAAGAAATAAATATTGAAAACCACATGTAGGAAAGAGGGAGAAAGCAAAATATTTTATAGAATAAGAAAGACTTACTTTGTTGCATGTTCAGGACATAAACATGAAAGATGTTTAATGTCCAAAGACACAGAAACAGATAGTCCTTGTTTAGCAACCATAATTGGGACCAACAACTCGATTATTAAGCACAGCAGTGAAATTACAATTGGGCTTTTGATCTTACTTCAGCTTTACTTTGTTTTAGAGACCCGCAAAGATTGTAAATGCAAGGATTGATGGTAAAGTTACTTTTTCAACACCATCATAACTGTGAATTGTCACTAAATGAGATAGTCACTAAACAAGGATTAGAAAGTCTCTTAACACAATAAGAGTGCTTGACTTTTCAGTATGGAGAGATGTAACTATGTGGTCTGTATATTGTATACTGCATTAACTGTATAAATATATTTGTGAATGAGGGCTTCTGATACGTATTTCAGTTTTGATATTTAAATGTTAAATCACAAATGCAATGTGACCCCCCCCCCCCAAAGTAACAGATGTATGTTAGTTCTATCATCATAACCTCCAGCCTCAAGTGGAGAATAGATAGTTAAACTTTGGACAGACTATAGAATTACAACATCCAATTAGTAATCTCCAAGAGACTTTAGTCAGTCAGTCAGTTATCAAATTTATAAGGCCACCAGATTATATAGCAATTCTGATGGCGCAGACTATTAAAAATGATTTTTTAAAAAAGAGAAAAATAAACAACAAGAAGAAATAAAAACGAATGCCATCTCTCAAATAGACAGCATTTCCACGAGGGACCACCCAACTTAACCCAAGGCCTAGGGGAACAGGTTTTAAAGGCCCTTTTAAACAGACACCAGAATCAAACTCCAACAACAAAAACGAAAGAAAAGCCAGATGGCAAATCCATTAGCAAAATATTTCTCCACTAATTAAGATTCATTAATGCTTCCAGCAAGTCTTACCACTGCTCAAACTGGCTGGGACAAATGCAATACAGTTCAATAGCATCTGATAGGGGACATTTCCCCCACTTTCCTCTTAAAGCATGTGTTGCAAGCTGGTACCTGCAACAACTTCAATTATGAACCAATGTAAACACTGAATGTACAAATTACTAACCGACTACAATCTTATGAGATTTTGCAACATTGCAGGTGAAAAGAGATTGTACTATATTTCAGCATTCCCATAAGGTTTTGGCCATTTGAAATGTTTTAAAACTGAAAAAAACTCACTATGTTTAAGATCCCACAATGACAATGCTTTTGACACTTGCCTCCAACATTGTTTTTTTCTTAGCTTTTAAGAATATTCCAAGCCTAAACCTTTTTTCAACCACTACATTGAGAACATTTCTTAGGGTTAGTTTTCAATCTCTTTAATTTTGAAAGAAACTAGTACTGTCGTTTTTGAGGTTGCTCTATTAACACATATACAAGAAAATTCAGACATACATTTCCCATAGGATTAATCAAGTCCCCTTTGAACTGAGATTTCTGTTTAGAAGGGCCATTCTGGATATGGGTATCTATAAAATTTCCCTTATTAATTTATTAAGTCTTAGAGTGTAGACCGTAATTGTGAGAATATTTCCATATTACTAAGAAATAAATATGGAGCATACTCTATGCACAAAATATTGGCATACTAGACATTGCTTAAGGCCAGGTCACTATGTGTTATCCAGCAGTAAAAATTATTTCCCATATTTATGAACTAGCAAACAGATAATGTTGGCTAGCCCAACATTCAGGATTCAACATAACAGTATTATTAACAGCAGCTAAAATTTCAAGCCTTTGTCTAAATATTATTTTTAATACAATGTTACTTATTAGAAAGCACATCTTCACCTCTTCTCCTTCAACCTCTGGCCGAATGGCATCATCCAGCTGCAAGGGCAGTCGCGGTTCAGCCAAACTGATTACATATATCTGAAAGAGACATGATATATACATAGTTAATAAATGCACTGCAAGAACTACAGTGTGATTTAGAGAGGGATGGTTCTGCAAGAAATATGAAGCCAAGCCAATTGCTAAGACTATGGAGGTCAAAAAAAAAAGATACAACATGCATGTTTGGATAGCCCTTGATTTATGACCGGTTGTTTAGCAGTTGAAATTCCAACAAATTTACCTGGGGAGTACTTGCATCCTATATTCAAAGTTTCTACAGTTGCCCCCCCTCGCAGTCACATGACTGCACTTCAGATGCTCAGCATTTACAGCTGTTTGCAGTGTTCCATGATCACATGACCAAGTTTTATGACTTTTTTATAGAAAACCAGATTTACGTAGTGAATCACTGGTTTGGTTAATAACAGAGACAACTTTTTCTTAATGATTGCCACACCAATGGCTGTAAAATCAGGTGACCAACCCATTTTACAACTGTCATAAATTAGAACCATGATGGCAGGCTTCCTTACATCATACCTAATAATAATAATAATAATAATAATAATAATTACTAATAAGTAATAAGTAATAAGTAATAATAATTACTGCAATTCCCTCTACATGGGCCTGCCCCTGAGATGCACCCGGAGACTCCAGCTGATCCAGAATGCAGCTGCACAGGTTGTTATGGGAGCCCCTCGTTACTCCCATATAACACCACTCCTGCATGAGCTGCACTGGTTACCAGTGGTTCTCCGGGTCCGCTTCAAGGTGCTAGTCCTCACCTATAAGGCCCTTCATGACTTAGGTCCGGGATATTTGCATGACCTTCTCCTGCCTGCCTCTCACCGTCCTGTTCGCTCACATAGGGCCGCTCTCCTCAGGATTCCAACGGCGAGCCAATGTCACCTTGCTGTGCCCAGGGGTAGGGTGTTCTCTGTGGGTGCTCCCACCCTCTGCAATGAATTGCCTACTGAGCTCCGGACAGCTCCTGATCTCCGCTCCTTCCGTTGGGACTTGAAGACTTGGCTTTTCAAACAAATAGGCTGAGACTGATTCCGGGCTTTATTATTTACTACTAATTAATTATTTGGATTAAATTATGATTTTATTGTACTTGTTTCTTAACTTGTGTTCGCCGCCCTGAGTCCTTTGGGAGAATGGCAGCATATAAATACATTTAATAAATAAATAAATAAATAACTCGAGGGCCACCTGTATTTGGTTAATTTTCATATTTCTAACAGAATTATTGAATAAAGATAGTATTTTTAAAATAAAATCCAGAAACTGTATTATAAAAGATATTAACCCAACTTAATCACTTAAAAAATAACGGGCCTGAAAGAACTGAACTGTTTTGAAACTACAAAATCAGTTTCAGTTGTAGCAAAAACGAACAGATAAATACTGCTGCAGTTGAATGAATGTGAAGGTCTTGAACAGAATTATAATCTGCCTGTCCTGTCCTGTTAAATGTAAAGTATAAACATAAACTTATATACTAATAATATGAGAATCTTCTGGGGGAAGTATAAGAACAAAACAGCAAGAAGGAAAAAAATAAAAAAATAAGTTCATAATTTTAAGTGAGTAAATATTTAGGAACCTGCTTCAATAAGTGATTGATAAATAGCTCTTTCTTTTTCTCTTGACATATTCTTAAAACTGTCTTTTGTTCCAATGACAGATGATTGAATTTGTCCAGAAAAAAAAAGCAAAGATAAATTACAGTAATATGGAACTTTATTATGAGCTGGTGGAGTTGGCATGAAGCCGCTTCACCATCCCGAATTCAAGTGTTTAGTGCCTGACTATTCCCACCATGACAGTCATTTTATGAACATGTAAGCCTGAACCTAGGCAGCCAATTTGCAAGTCTGCTCATAATTCACCCCCAATATTGCAAAATTCCTAAAAGGTTCCCTACATCTTTGCCTTCCACTTCCCTTTTAATAGGGAAGGCAATATTTGAAAAATCCTGGAGTCTGGACATCTCCCATTATTTCTACTAGAGGAAAAACTATTACACTGTCTGAATTTGTTTAAAAGACAGCTAGAATTTTAGTGGCTTGTATTGAGGGATGCACATGTTTATTTGGATTACATTATATATCTGTTCTGAACTAGTCATATCTACAGAAAAACAGAGCCTGTATCTTTTGTCATTGTTAGAAACCAATTTAGAATAGGTGAAAACAAATCTTCATTGCCTTATGAAACTAAAATTACTTCTTGATTTCTATTTCAGTTGAATTTGCTACATAAATGAGGAATTTTTTATTTTATTTACAAATGTAAACCAACAGGACTGCAGTTAGGGAAGTTATCCCTCAAAAGGGTAACCAGAAACAATATTGTCAAGGCACATTTTAATTTGCTGATAAAAATATTACCCTCTGAATGTGGAGTTCAACATCTTGCTGGGTGCAGCTGCCAATTTTATTTGGCACTTTTCTTATTACACCTTCTATGTCAACAATGCTCTCTTTGTTGATGCTGTTAATAAAAATAAAATCAGTAATTAGCTCAAAGATTCATTTCTGTTTGGAACAGTTATTTAATTATGCAGATAGCTATAGGTAATTTCTGTCTTAAACATTTGTTTAACGATAGTTGAAAGTTATGACAACTTTGGGACCAGCAACTCCATCGCTGAGTGACACAGACAAAAAAAAAAAAATGAAACGTGACTGTTTTTATGATTTATGGCATCAGTCCAGTTGTAGTCATTAAGTAAATTACTGTGGTAGTTAAGCATGTCACGTGACTGCAATTTGTGACTTCGCTATTAGTTTTGGTTATCAGAAGCCAACTGTGAAGGCTGCAAATTGAGATCATGTGACCAGATTGCTATGATCGTCGTAAGTGCATGGCGCCTGCCACATGCCTGAATTGTAACATGAAGCATGCGGTTCTTCAATGGCTGCAAGCTTGAGGACATGTTTATAGGCAGGATTTGGAGTATATTGTTCAATAATTCAAATCGCTGGGATCAAATAAATGTCCAAGGATGTTGATAAAGGTAAAGGTTCCCCTTGCAAATATGTGCTAGTCGTTCCCGACTCTAGGGGGCAGTGCTCATCTCCATTTCAAAGCCGAAGAGCCAGCGCTGTCTGAAGTCGTCTCTGTGGTCATGTGGCTGGCATGACTAAACGCCAAAGGTGCACAGAACAGTTACCTTCCCACCAAAGGTGGTCCCTATTTTTCTACTTGCATTTTTTACGTGCTTTTGAACTGCTAGGTTGGCAGAAGCTGGGACAAGTAATGAGAGCTCATCCCATTATGTGGCACTAGGGATTCGAACTGCTGAACTTTTGATCGACAAGCTCAGCATCTTAGCCACTGAGCCACAGAGTCCCTTCTAGAATGTTAATAAGGCATCCCTAAAAATGTGTTCAAGTAGTCCTTGACGTACAACAGTTTGTTTAGTGATGGTTCGAAGTTAAAACGGCACTGAGAAATGTGACTTATGACCGTTTTCACGTTTATGACTGTGGTAGCATCCCCATGGTCACATGATCAAAATTCAGATGCTTGGCAACTGACTCACATTTATGACTGCTGCAGTATCCTGGGGTCATGTGATCCCCTTTTGTGACCTGACAAGGAAAGTCAATGCGGAAACCAGATTCACTTAAAACTATGTTACTAATTTAACAACCGTAGTGGTTCACTTAGCAACTGTGGTAAGAAAGGTCATAAAATGGGACAAATTCACTTAAAAATGTCTCACTTGGCAACAAAAATTTTGGGCTTAATTGTGTTTGTAAATTGAGAACTACCTGTAATCTGCTTGGGCACACACACCGTTTGCACTTGTAAACTGAATAGATAGAAAAACCACTTGTTTGTATAGCTCTTAATTAAGCTAGGGTTTTCAAGCTGAAGTGATGTTGAAATGAGGCCGTAACAATGCCCTACATTCAATTGTCAGAGAGTGTTCAATTTCAATTTTCAAATGAAAACTTCAGTTATCCAAATATTAGTCAAGACTTTCTATTTTAACCACAGGACTGCAGCTTGGTAAGATCTGTATAAACATCTTTCAGCAACAACTCTGGATTGCAAGATCAAACCCACTTAGTGGTGAATCACTTTCTATCAGTTTTCTCACAAACAATTCTTTTTAAAGAAAAAAACCCCTTCACGTCTTTAGTTAGGAAACAAATACATTTGAAGTTGTTTTTAATTAACTAAACATAGTGTCACTGGACCAGTGACTACAGCCTGATTCAATGAAAAACAAATTCGTTTGTTTTTCTCAATATGATTAATTTGGTATCCATTCTGAGAAACATGACACCTTCCTAGCTGTTTTGTGTGTGTGTGTATGTGGGTGTGTGGGTGTATTTATATTGCCTTAAGGCTAGTTTTTAACACAAAACACAGTATCCTATTTCCCCCCCCTTATCACTTATTGTTTCTGTAGCTTATTTTCTTACATTTTGTATGCAATTAATTATATGGATTATAACTTTGAAATCTAGCATACTAGTGAACAGGTAAACTTGGATTCATTTTAAGTATTATTGGTATTCAAAAAAGAGCCATTCAACGGCATTTCCCACTCTTTTATAAGCCCTAATAAACCTGGTTCTCTTGAAACAGTTAAAAGTTTTGAATTTATCTCAGAGTATTTCTTGGCATTTTATTCAATTTCATCATCTGCAATCTGAAGTCTTTGATTTTGAAAATATTGTCAGTCACGAAGTTCCATGTTATTGTTTTATTTTTATAATAACTGTATTAAACATCACAATTAAAAAGATTAAAAAAACTAATAGAAATTAAAAAAGAAAAGAATAAAAAGAAAAAGTTTGGAAAAGAGTAAAGAAAGAAAAATAAGAATATAGTAAAGGGAAAAATATTTTTTATTAAAGAGTTTTACAGAAAAAAAAACAAAAACAAAATTTTTTTTACAAGTATTTCCCCCTTCCCCCTCCCTTCCTTATCCCCCCCCCCGAACTTCCCAGAACAAAATACAGGGTATAACAATTAACAATCATATGCTAAACTAAGCTAATAAACTAAGGATTCCTATCCCCCCCTTCACACTTTAACTCCCCTTTTACTAACTAAACATAAATACTCTTAATTTTTCTATTCATTCATAAACTATTTGATACTTTTTAGTCCGATATTTGTTTTGAATATAATCAATCCATCTTCTCCATTCCAATATATATCTTTCTTGTGAATGATCTTTCAAATATGCTGAAATTTTCGCCATTTCTGTCAGATTCACTACTTTTAATGTCCATTCTTCAATAGTAGGCAAATCTTCCTTCTTCCAATATTGCGCCACCAAAAATCTAGCTGCAGTTATTAAATTTAAAATTTTGTTATGATTATTATTATTTTTGCTATCATTATTTTTGCTACCATTAAAGCAAAAAAGGGGAATTAATTATAGAATGGGTACTTTATCGCATAAAATGCAGAGGGACTTGGTAACTACTAGTATAGTTTTATATTGTATTTAATATTTGAAAGCATATAACTTCAAAGGTAGATAATTTGATGGAATCTTTAGAAATTCTCTTATGATTAAGATCCCGTGCCATTTAACATGCTAACTGGGACTGATAGGATTTGAAATCCAAATGAATTAAAACTTAAAATGAGAATGAGCAATCATTTTTCTATCAAGGATGTAACCTGCTGACATTTGACTGTATAGGACAGGGGTGTCAAACTTGATTTCATTGAGGGCCGCATCGGGAGTGGCCAGGGCCAGCTTGACATAACTCGTGTCAGGGGAGCCTGTGGTGGCCTGAGTGCTCTGCCAGCAAAAACGGACTCCCAAAGTGCTCTCCCAGTGAAAACGGAACTCAGGAGGGCCGAGGCACCGTGGGTCAGTCCGCTGTTTCCAGGGCGGCCCCATGGGCCAAATCTAAGCACCCCACAGGCTGAATCCAGCCTGCGGGCCTTGAGTTTGACACCCCGGTATAGGAAGATGTAAAGTAAGCAGCAAGTAGAGCCAGAACAAAAGTGATTAAATATCCATTTCTTCCTCTCCCATCCCTTTTTCTATTTCTTCCTCTCTTCAAAAACAGTGTATACATTAAGGTGAAGATTGCTTTTGATACACATGTGAACAGATCAATTGTAAAGGTGATCATACATTTTGAAACTGTCATCATTATGTTAGAATACAGAATAAATATAAACTCAGATTTTGGTCAAAAATACCTATATTAATAATATATTAATAAGCCCGAATAGTTAACCTACTGAAATGTACTAGATTTTTTCTAGTAAAGAAAAAAGTAAAGGGATTGTAAAATGAAATCCAGATTTAATAATAGAAGGATATTCTTGTCAATGGTTTTCTTATGTACAATTAGCAGAAAGGTTTAAAGTGGATAAAACATTTTATGTTTTTGAACAAAGGACGACTGAGTTTGAAATAGAATTATGTATTAGCGTGAATGTGTAAAATGTATAAACTTTTACTGAAGTATCAGACAGAAGAACAAATGAAAGAATGCATGATAAAATGAGCTAAAACCTTTTGCTATAATGTACAGAAAAACCAGTTGGAAAATGCATGGTTGAAAGGACTGAAATTTATGTTCTAGTCTTAAAGATATTTTTATAAGATATGTCATTGGGATTTGTCACTGGAGAAATTGGTATATAATGTATAAAGATACTTTGAATTGTTGCTGGAAATGTGAACAGTATCAAGGGACATTGTGTCATGTTTTATGGTTGTGTAAATATTTTGGATACAAATATGTGCATTGATTCAGAAGATTTTAACGATTAAAGTACAACTGAAACAAGAAACTTTTCTTTCTGGACTAATGGGCAAGCGATCAGAAAAAACTCATGGGACTTTGTTTTTATATATGACAACTTTGGGAAAACTGTTATATGCCCAAAATTGCAAAAGATCAATATTACTTACAACGGAAGAATGGTTAGTGAAGATGATTGAGATTGTGAAAATGGCTAAACAATATCTATGTTTAGAGACTATGGTATGGTTTGTAATCAATATTTGCAATCAATATTTACATAAATTACAGTAATATGAATTTGGAAATTAGGACAGTGATGATATTATTACTTTTTGTTAAGTTGCCCACTACCTGAAATATATGATACTTATTTTCCATCTAAATAAAATATGGTTCTTCCAAAATGTTAAATATTTACAACAGCTGAATTAAAAAAAAATCCTCAGGGAAACTCTGCTAAATGAACATATTGACCTGAGAACCATTCTTGTTGCATTAAATGTTGAGTTGCAAACAATAATCTTTACTATTATTTCTGAAGAACTGGCTCATTATCTTATAGCAAAGCTAGTAAAGAGAGTAATTGATCGATGTTACCTCTATAAAATGTTCTCCTAAATCTCAACATTTTACCATTAAATCAAATCTGGGCAAGAACGTTTCACAGTTAGTAATGCAAATTTCATCTCATCAACAAGGAAGTTAGGTTTTCCTCTAAAAAAGTTGAACAGCAGATGACAATGGTCTTTT